TCTTTTCAAAACTGTTTATTTTCATCTATTTCAAAGGCAGAGAGAGGGAGAGAGGGAGAGAGGGAGAGAGGGAGAAAGGGAGAGAGGGAGAGAGGGAGAGAGGGAGAGAGAGAGAGAGAGAGAGAGAGAGAATCTTCCATCTGCTGGTTCACTCCCCAAAGGTCCATAATAGCCAGAACTGGGCCAGGCCAAAGCCAGGAACCTGGAACTCCATCCACATCTCTCACAAGGGTGGCAGATACTCAGGAACTTGAGCCATCATCTGCTGATCTCAGAACGCATTAGCAGAAAACTGGATCATAAGCAAAGTAGCCAGGAAACAGACACTCCAATATATGGGATGCAGACATCCCAAGTACTGACTTAACTCAGCACCACAATCCTGTAAATGTTATCTTTAAGTATTCCAGAAACTATACTAATTTTCAAGTATATTCTTATTTAAATATTTCAACACCTGTTGTATGATCATTAAACTAATGAATTAATCAATCTCTCTTGTACAGTACTAAAAATTTCTTAACAAAATTATTAAACTTTTCCTTGCTAATATATTAAGTGTGTCAAAACAATATCAATTAAAAAGAATTTTCTATAAGTAACTCATAAGAAATGTAAGAATCAGACTGACACTGTGGTGTAGCATATAAAGCCGCTGTCTGAAGTGCCGGCATCCCATAAGGGTGCCAGTTCAAATCCCAGCTGCTCCACTTCTGATCCAGCTATCTGCTATGGCCTGGGAAGACAGCAGAAGATGCCCCAAGTCCTTGGGCCCCTGCATCCACCTGGGAGATTGAGAAGAAGTTCCTAGCTGCTGGCTTTGAATTGGCCCAGCTCCGGCCATTGCAGCCATTTGGGGAGTGAATCAGAGGATGGAAGACTCCTCTCTCTCTCTGCCTCTGCTTCTCTGTAGCTCTGCCTTTCATATAAATAAATGAATCTTAAAAAAAAAAGAAATGTAAGAATAACAATTTTGTGATGAAAGAAGATATAACTGTTTAAAATATCAAACAGAAAATAGAATATAATTAAATTTGAATGTAGCAACAATCAATGAACAGAATTTACTCATGTAAACAGAATTTAAGGAATAAACAATTTACTCATAAGATGATCACATATTTATTCACTTATTCATCCAGAAATCACTGACAGAACATTTATCAACATCACATGTATCTAACTGGATGACAGTTGCTGAGGCCATAAAGCCAAATAAAATATAGTCTTCACCTTCCAGGAATTCATAGTATAACAAAGTCACAAAAGAGAACCTACATAGTAAGAGGACATTGGGGTTAACTCTGGAGCTGAAAAAACGGTTTTCCCTTTTTTTTTTTTTTAAGATTTATTTATTTGAGAGGAAAAGCCACAGATAGAGGGAGAGAGAAAAAGGTCTTGCATCTGCTGCTTCACTCCCCAAATGGCCACAACTGCTGGAGCTGAGCTGATCTGAAGCCAGGAGCCGGGAGCTCCATCCAGGTCTCCCACGTGGGAGCAGGGGCCCAAACACCTGGGCCATCCTCCTCTGATTTCCCATGTCATCAGCAGGGAGCTGGATTGGAAGTGGAGCAGCTGGGGATGGAAACAGCATCCACATGGGATGCTGGTAACGCAGGCAGAGGCTTAACCTACTATGCCACAGTGTCGGACCCAAGAAAAGGGTTCTTAAAGGAGATGATTTTGAACAGAGTTTGGGGTTGGAGTTTTGGGGGTATACAAGTAAGAAAATCTGGCTTTCATTTTTTGGAAAGGCATTTGGGGAAAAAACTGCCCATCTACTATCAGTCTAGTGAACAGCTGAGGACATAACTGGAGTAGCAAAAAACAGATCTGGAAGATGTCTGATAGAATCAATAGGACTTGATGACAGATTTGATGGCGGGGAGGGGGGGTGGGTTGAGAGAATGAACCAAAATGGTATTCAGCCTCTGACTTGACAGAAGATTGACAGCATGAAATGAAATCTAGATGACCAGTTCACAAATATTTACTATGCACTGTCTATGTACCCAAAATATTCCAGGTATAGCAATTCTGTTTTCATTTTAGTCAGAAGAGGCAGACAGGAGACAAAAAAATAACCAGAGACAGTGATAAATGGGATGAAGAAAACAAAACAGGTTTATATGATGGTGATGGGAGAAGGAAGCTTTAACAGGAGGTTGGCAGTCGTGAAAAGTGACTCATGAATGATAATGAGGGAGTCAAGTGAAGCTCAAGACAAGAAGAAACAGCGAACATGAAGGATGGGCTGGGAGCAAGCTGAATAGCACCAAAGGACAGCAAGGGAGCTGGTGTATGGGGATGGGTACTGGGGCCCTGCAGAGCAACGAAACTGGAGAGAGCATGGAGCCCCTCATGGCCCACTGGAAGGAGCTCAGCATTTAGGCCAGTGACAGGGAGCAGGCAGCAGACTTAAGCCTCAGTGTGATATGATTATCATCTGACTCAGATTTCTTTCTGAACAGTAGAGGCGGAGAGTACTCACAGAAGTGGTGGCTTAGCCTTCCTAAGTGACAATGCCAAGAAGCAGTCAGATTCCAGACAAACAGGTGAAGATGACAGGACTTGCTGATGGACGGGAGGTGGAGTGTTGACGCAAAGAGAGAAGCCAAGGGTACCTCAGAGCTTTGGGTCCTAATGCACTAGGTATATGGTGGTAATATTAAGCACAGATGAAGAAAGCCTGGACAGACAAGCATCAGGGTAGCGGGGCCAGGAATCAGTAGATCTTCTACAGTTGAGGAAAGACTAGTTATCTAAGAATTTGTCTAAGAGTTGTCTAAGAACTTGGATATGTAGCATCATGTGGCCATACAGATATAAAGTCTGGAGTCTACCGGAGAGGTCTAGATTTAAAGCCCTGAGACTAGATAAGGCTCATCAAGGTAGAATATAGAAAGTGAGGTGTGTGGAGCAATACTTTTGTCCTGAGATTTTTAAAAGAGTAGTGGGTTTCACATTAGATGCTTAAGATTCAGATAAATGATTATTTCGCTTATCTGCAGCAAAACTTATCGGAGAGGCCTTCAAAGAGTTCATGGAAAATGCATATTCTGAAAAAATTACGCATCAATTACAAAATTTTTACACCAAAGTAAACATATTTAATTCCATTTTACCACAACCTTATTGATTAATAATTTATTATATTAATGGAGAGATTCAAAAGTAGCACAATAATGATCTAGTTTGAAATTTCCGAGGATCATAATATCAAACAATTCTTTCTTTAAGAATCAATCTTGGAATTATATCAATGAATCAACTTTGAAAAATACCAACTCCTGGCCTTTTGGAGGTTCCTAGGCCATGAAGCCCAAACCTTCAACAATGGGATTAGTGTTTCCTTATAGGAGCCTGAAAAGATCAGAGTTCTCCCTTTATTAAGTGACAATATGGCAACAAGGCACCATCTATGAAGCAAAAAGCAGATCCTTTCAGGCATCAACTGTGACAAGGCTTTCTAGACTCCAGAATTGTGAAAAATATGTTCTGTTGATTATAAGCTACCCAGCTGATGGTATTTATGGCTTGAACTAAGGCACTAAGCATTTAAAATCAAGTAATCATGGGGGATAATCCTGATGGTTATTTCTCAAACCTCAAATATATCCATCTCTATTCCCTATCACAAATGCAACTACTCCTGATCAGCACTCATTACATGTTTGAATAAATGAAAGAAATCAAGTTCTTTCAGTTTATAAGTGAGGTGTTTTTCTTTGTCCTTATATATGCTTCTTTCACCATCATGTACCCAGAACCTTGCATGGTGCCTTGAGTACAGTCAGTGTTCAATAAATATTTTTTGCACACATGAATGAAAGAATGAATTCATTGCTTCATAAGAGATATTTATGATATTTTTTTCCTCCTCATGAATTTACTTCCTTTATCGTGTCTTCCAATAAGATGTTTCCTTGACTTTAAAACACTTGCTCATTGTGAAAAGTACTAATATAGAAAGTAAAATATCTCTTCTTAAGATAAATATTGTCCTCTATTGACAGCTCAAGGCCGCATCAATTTATTCATCTAACTAATGTTTATTCACTGCATACTCTGCTAGGCCCTGGGGACACTACAGTGAACCAAACAGGCCAGGCATCTGAACTAGCTGAACGCAGCAATACCCTGCCATGCTACCAGCTGAATATAAGTGGAAGTGTGTGTCACCATGAAAAGAGCTTCAAAATTCATGGATATTCCTTAAATTTTGACATTCTCTTTAAGTCTTAAAGACAATTATTTCAGTGATTAAATATAGTTAGTACATTGCTACATAGCACATACAAGTAGCCATCCTAACTATAATGTCAAGCACCCTCAAGGAGCAAATAGTTTTCTCATGTGAAAAAGAACAAATATTCTGGTCTTGCTACAGAACACTTAGAAGGAGAGTACTTTGATTCTAGAAACATAAGGGAATATAGTACTGAATTCATTATTTTCAAACCTTTCTCTATAGGCTCATATATTGTTTATCAACGCAAATACAAGAAAGCTCAGAAAATTTGTGGAAAACGGAATTAAAAATAAAGATTATTTCAGTTCAGTGCAAAAATTTTAAAATCCATGCACAGTTTTTTCATAATATGCATGGTCTATAAACTTTTTAAAGATACTTTATATGCATATATTTTTGAGGGTGCAACAAAATTAATTAATTCCACTTTCAATAAACTTTTTGAAGTATGCATATATATTAGAACATAATCAATTACAAATAGTTTAAACATTTTCATGTAAGGACTCTGCCCTCTATTTTTAACAGAAATTTTCCAACTCCAACACTAGGAAAAGGGTGGCACTTGGGACATCACTCCCCGTGCTGCCTTCCACTGACTTCCAGCAAATCTCCTGCCTCGTGGTGTCACAGTACCTGTCTATACAGTGAGAGAAGTCACTGTTGTCAGAGGAGCACGTGATCACTGAAGAATACGGACCACTCATTCAGTTTCACCCCAAAAGAACTCTTATTGTCTTTCACTTACCTCTAAAGGTGGATCACATTCTGTACCTGAAGTTTTACTTCTTTGCTCATTTGCTGTGTCTCCTATAAAGAAAAAAAAAAAAGCCAAAAAACTTTACTATGCTGGTGGGACCAACTATCTTCTACTCTTTGAACTACCTTTTGCTAATAATAATTCACATTTCACATCACAGAAGCAATTTCCTTTGTTACAAAATAATCGGTCAACTTTTAAAGAAATGTAATTTTAGTCAGCCTCATAAATCATCCATAGTTATACTTATACACAAAACCTAAATTAGAAATGTACTCTGCGGCTGGTGCTGCAGCTCAATAGGCTAATCCTCCACCTTGCGGCGCTGGCACACCGGGTTCTAGTCCCAGTTGGGGTGCCAGATTCTGTCCCGGTTGCCCCTCTTCCAGGCCTGCTCTCTGCTATGGCCCGGGAGTGCAGTGGAAGATGGCCCAAGTGCTTGGGCCCTGCACCCCATGGGAGACCAGGAGAAGCACCTGGCTCCTGGCTTCGGATCAGCGCAGCGCGCCGGCCGCGGCGGCCATTGGAGGGTGAACCAACAGCAAAGGAAGACCTTTCTCTCTGTCTCTCTCTCTCACTGTCCACTCTGCCTGTCAAAAATAAAAAAAAGAAATGTACTCTGCTTTGTGTAGGCTGACTCTGGAAAACCCAAATGTATTTATATTTTGCACATTAAATTGTATTTCAAATAGACTACGGCAGCTTGTGACTTAAAGAAGTTCAAATATTTTGAAACAAAATCCCTTATAATATGATTAATGTTCCTCCAAATTAATTTTTCATTAGGTTTGCCCTTTATAAGTGTATATTGTGTTTCTGCAGATTTGCATTGGAGTAGATATGTATGTTTGTAAGTAACAATTAACCAAATGTCAGACAATCATTACAGAAGTAAAGAACAAAGACCAAATGCGTAAATTCTTCAGTTAATACATTGGTTCCTAAGGCTAATACCTGGGTAGGTTATATTACTAAATTAAGTTGGTGACTAGGCTGGCTTGAAGGGCACATAGTTGGGTAAGAATAAGCATAATTTATTAATCGCCCATCTCAATATATGGTCTGTTAGTAATATCTTTGTAGAGTCTACCAATGAGCCTATTTCTTTGCAGCATAATCTGAGGTAAATTTGGCAATCTGTAAATTGTTTTTCCTAAAACATTTAGCCAGTTCAGGAATGTCCAAAGCAGAGACAATTACCACATCCATAAATGAGGGCTTGATTGACATTAAAGGTTAAGAAATTGTTAATATAAAGAAGTCTACAAGTATTAACTGGACCTAATAGATGAAAATCTTGGGTGAGCTAACTGTTCCATACAAAGCATAGAAGTTTAGTTTACCAACAGCTATGATCAAGGAAGAGTCTAATGAAAATTTTAAAGGAGTAAATATAACCCTGTTAAATTCTGAAATCATGAAGAACAAAATTTGTAATGTACTTATGTAAAATAAAGTAATTTCCTTAAATTCTTCTATCATGAACACCTATTCTAGCCTATCTGCTTTATTCTCAGCTGTGTGCAATGATATTATCACTGGGCAGAGCCCAGCACATGATATATGGTCAATAAATATTAGCTGAATAAATAAGTGAACTTATCTGGTTAGTTTATCATCTATAAAACTGTCAGATTAACATTTAACAGCATTTATTAAAAATTGTATTTTAGTATACAGTAGTACCTTTCTACTAAAATATATTTATGAAACTTAAAAGGCAAAATTATTAGCACTTTAACATTATTCCTAGTAATCTGTAATTGTCGCATAATGTGTTGGATTTCTTAGAGAGTCCATGATTTTTTTAAGGTTTATTTATTTATTTGAAAGTCAGAGTTACAGAAAGACAAGGAGAGACAGAGAAACAGATCTTCTTTTCCACTGGTTCACTCCACAATGACAGCAATGGCCAGGGCTGGGCTAGGTCAAAGCTGGGAGCCTGGAGCTTCTTCCAGGTCTCCCATGTGGGTAAAGGGACCTAGGACTTGGGTTATCTTCTGGTGCTTCCCCTGGCATATTAGCAGGCAGCTGGATTGGAAGTGGAACAGCTGGGACTTACACTGGCACCCATGTAGGATGCTGGCACTGCAGAGGGTGGCTTAACCCCCTATGCCACAGCACTGATCCGCCATGATTTTTTTAAGAAAACAACCACACTAGGGCCAGCACTGTGGCATAGTGGGTAAAGCTGCTGCCTACAGTGCTGGCATCCCATATGAGCACCAGTTCAAGTCCCAGCTGCTCCACTTCCAATCTAGCTCCCTGCTAATGCACCTGGAAAAGCAGTGGAACATGGCTGTAGTGAGAAAGGTTATCAGTCTTCCTGATATCACATAACACATCTGCCTTGAAGCAATTGTAGAATCATTATTTACCAAAATGTCATGTCTAGCAATGACTATGATAGGAAAATAACAGATTACAAGGAAGACTGCCATCTGCAAGATTATTTCTTTATAAATAGAGGTACAAAATGAAAACTAAACAAACACACAGAAAAGAACAGGTCACAGTGAAATATATGTTTTGGAGGGTATTTTTCTCCCACTAAAGAATTACATTACTATGGTGAAAATTCAATTATTATTTACATTTCTATAATCCCTGTAAAAGTTAGGTATTTTAACAATAGATAAATAAAAAAGATGTGAGAAATGTCAAATAAAACACTTTAGTTTTCAAGTATCAAATTAACTCTAACTTATATCCAGGGCAGATTCATTTGCAAGTCAGCCATTCAAAAAAACCAAAAAAAAAAAAATCAGCATTTCATAGGACTCTATCTTTCATAAAGACTCTTGTTTGGCATCACATGTGGTTACTGTTGAGCAGGTGCAGAAAATTATTCCTCTGTCCAGCTGACAGGTAGATGAACTCACAGAGGGCACCGTACTCAATGACTTCATGACCCAAGGTCTCCCAGGACAGAAGTCACAATGAGGGTAGAACTTTGTCTCTTGACATCCCTGGGGACTCAGTGGTCTGGTGGAAGGTTCCAAGGGATGGGGGCTAACTGACAGGTATCAAGTCTTTGAGTTGGAGAGCAGGGTATAACAAGAAGAGCAAAAGACTCCAAAATGCAGCTCTGAAGGCAGGATTTTGTGCTGGTCTAAGGCCCAGGCACCCAGATGATTCTCTCCATTTTTTTTTTTTGCTTCCATAGTCCTCATGGATGATCTGTTTTCTTCCTTTTCCATTTGGTGATGCCAAATACTTCCAATACGAGCATGCCTCTGTCCTTTCTGGTCCTTTAAAGCAAACAGTCTCCTTGATATAGAAGCTTACAGTACTAGAAACAACTTATAAGAAGCAAAACTCCATTTTACAACAGGCAAAAATTGCACATAACCACACAATTTCCTTTGTCTAAATTACAGTTTTTATTTAGAGTGAGTAAATTATCAAGGATATATATATATATATATACACACACACTAATGAACAAGTTTCAGAACTTAGTGTGGGATTGTAGTGAAAACTCTCTTTATTTTACATTAGGGGTTGGCAAAACTTTTTCTGCAAAGGTCCAAATAGTAAATGTTTTAGGCTTCGCAAGCCAGTTGGGCTCTGTCACAAGTTTGCAATACTACCATCATGGCCAACAGAAGTGGAAGTCAATATGTCAACTAATGAGCATTGCTGTGTTCCAATAAAATTGTATCTACAAAAACAGGGGGCATGCCATAGTTTCAAATCCCAGTTTTAGAGAATCTATGTACTCTACCTTTCCTTTGAACAAAAAGTTGATGTTTGAGCTCTATGAGGAGATGAGAAAAGAAGGCATGCTCATTAGAGCAGCATCATGATCCCATTCTTCTGGGTGAAGGGGAGGAAGTGAGCGCCAGGTGGAAGGGAAGGTGGAAAGGAGAGAAATTCCCAGGGATTGGAGGGGAATCCCAAGGCCTACTTGGGTGCCCAAGAAAATGCCCATCTGGAAGGGTTGATGGTGGGTGGATGAGGAACAGACACAGAGGAAGTTCTGTCAACATTCACCACAGGCTTCTTTCTGCTCTCCTGTCTGTGGGTGGGGAGTTAGGGACAACTTGGCTGCATGCAGTCCTGACTCTCTCTTTAGAACAGAAGGACTGAAGGAATCCAGAGAGCACATCACTCTGTCTGCTCTGATCCTCTCTGCAGGGACTTCCTTCCATTTGGGGAAGCCTGCCATAGCCTGGTGAACTCAATCTGATTCTGGGATTCAGATTAGGTTTCCCTGAAGGGACTTCAAAATGTTCATGGAAAATGGAATTTAAAAAACAAGTGTATTTTGCTATAAAAAAATTTGAAATCAATGCATGGAATCCTCACAGGGTTCATAGAAAATGTGTATTACGAAATATGTGTGGATTTCTTTTTTTTTTTTTTTAAACTTTTATTTAATGCATATAGATTTCCAAAGTACGACTTATGGATTACAATGGCTTCCCCCCCATACCGTCCCTCCCACCCACAACCCTACCCTTTCCCACTCCCTCTCCCCTTCCATTCACATCAAGATTCATTTTCGATTATCTTAATATACAGAAAATCAGCTTAGTATACATTAAGTATGGATTTCAACAGTTTGCTCCCACACAGAAACATAAAGTGAAAAATAATAGATGATTTTTTTAAATGATGATGAAATCAGAGCAGACCTATTGTCATGTTTAATCCCAGTGAGAGTCAAGTTGGGAATTGATAATTTCTTTTTTTTTTTTTTTTTTTACAGAGGATCAGTTTAGTATGCATTAAGTAAGGATTTTAACAGTTTGCACCCCCATAGAAACACAAAGTGAAATATATTGTTTGAGTACTCGTTATAGCATTAAATCTCAATGTACAGCACATTAAGGATAGAGATCCTACATGAGGAGTAAGTGCACAGTGACTCCTGTTGTTGACTTTACCAATTGACACTCCTGTCTATGGCATCAGTAATCTCCCTATGCTCCAGTCATGAGTTTCCAAGGATTTCAAAATATTTTGCAGCAAAATAATCTCTTTTAATGCCATTTTCCCACAGCTTTTTGAAATACCCTCATATATGCCCTATTCTTCAATAGCA